TGTGTGTGTGTGTGTGTGTGTGTGTGTGTTCCTCGTGTACACCACGAGATCTGACTTGGTTGCGATTCAGGGACATTTGACAGTAAATTGCTACATGAATCAAATTGTTCAACTTCACCTTCTTCCAATCATTGGGAGCTGTTACAACAGGACAACGCTCCACCACACACAGCTCGTGTCACGGTAGACTGCCTTCATAATGCCAACATCAACGTCTTGCCCTGGCCAACGCGTTACAAGCAGAATGGCGCGGAATTCAGAGTTCATGGCAACATTGTTGACTTATTAGACATGACAATGAACAATTTTCAATGCCTTTGTACAACGACAACATGTGGCTATCGAGCTCCAAAATTTCATATGTGTATCTATGATATTAAAATAAATATATCGACTTTATTAGGTTCAATAAATTTACTAAACATTTACCTGTGCGTTTCTTTTTTTTGAAGAGTTAATACCAACCGTTCATTTATCACTTACTGTCCACATCTGTAACTGTAATGTATGTTCATTTTTTCATCGTCCTGTAAATATAGCATGAGCCACACGGTGAAGAGAAACATTTTTTGAATTTATTTGGGTCTTACATGAAGTAATATGTGATGACTATCGCGGGTTCTACAAGAGCAGATGCATTAAAATGTGAAAATGTTTGCAGTTAATTTAAAGAATTTTAAAGCTTTTTTTTATCTTTAACACTGAAATTGCAAATTATAGAGATTAGAGAGCATTGCTCATTATTACAATTACCGTTATAAGTGCACCGAATGCACTCGCCGCACGCCACAACCCTGTGATCACTGTAACATATTTCGCTGTTTTCACAATATCACAGCTGTGAGCGAGGCTCACACAATACGTGATGATATCAGTTTACTGTAGCATCTAATACATTCAGTTGATAATTAAGCCACCTTGTATACGGACATACTTGCATACTTGTGTTTTTATACATATGCGTATTTTACAAAGGTATGCAAAATTAAGCATATAAACGGTTTTACGTAGGAATGTAGAATTGCACGATGTCAATGGCACTGCAAATGTGTTATTACTTGTATGCATATTTGATTTAGTTTTTATTTTGGTCATATAAACACATAGCATTATACATACGCGATGAAATAAGTGTTTTCCGTTAACATAACTGTTAATGAAACAAGCTACGGAAATGACATTTGAAGAGTGAATTGTACCGTCCGTGCGCCATGAACAATTACAGTTTGTTACAAATTGTTTTTTTGGGTTGTTTTGTTTTGTTTAACGCTACTGTCATCAACATTCCATCAATACAGTGTACACATCATCTAAAACAGTTGTGGCTCAGCTTGGTGAAATTGACACAAAATCATACTGGCACAAAATTAGAAATAAATAAGCAAAATGTCATATTTGGATTTAAGGAAAAACGAAATGACATACTAAACTTGATTTTCATTCTTACTAAATCATGCCTCAACAAATACAAATGTACGAGTCGCTCACCAAATATGAATGGTCTCAAGACTACGTTAACAAATCTTTATCATTTCAACAACTTCAGGGTGCACGGGTGGGCCAGTCGTCTAAGGCGCCGCGATTCGCTGTGCAGAGATGCTTCCCTTGGGCACGCCAGAAACCTATGATTGTGGGTTCGAATCCCGATTCGCCTCGATTATGTTTCTAGGTTTGTCAGCACCATACCCGTGCTCGTGGGTTTCACCGAAGTGGTAAACGTCTGAGACCTGCATCACTTCGGGCTTTCCTCCCACATTAAGCTGGCACGCCGCGATATATGTGGAGTGGAGTGGAATTGGGGTAGAAGGATACAGTGTAGATAGAGGGAGTGAGGGGGGTAGGGGGTAGGAGTGGTCTCCGAGTTGAGGGGACAGTGTGGGTGAAGGGAAAGGGGTGGAGTTGGGGTAGAAGGAGACACGTGTGGAAGGAGGGAGAGAGAGGGGTGGGGGGTAGGGGTGGTCTCCGAGCAGATGTGGACATTTTTGGTGAAAGGAAAGGGGTGGAGTAAGGGTAGGAGACACGTGTGGAAGGAGGGAGAGAGAGGGGTGGGGGGTGGGGGGTAGGGGTGGTCTCCGAGTTGATGGGGACAGTGTGTGTGGGTGAAGGGAAAGGGGTGGAGTTAGGGTAGAAGGAGACACGTGTGGAAGGAGGGAGAGAGAGGTGTGGGGTGGCTAGGGTCACCCGGTGGTGTCTGCCATTACTGAACTGTATGCCCCACTCAAGCACCACACGCCCATTGAACGCGCATGCTCTGTAATTACAAATAGGGTGTTTTCTTATCAATAACATAAAGCTGTTTTTGTGTAACCAACTAACACATATATACCAAAGTAACCTGACACCTCAGACGCAGCCAATTCAACCAGAAATAATTCGATAAGAATAGACGAATCTAAAGCCTGTTTACATTTAGAGAAGAGTAATTTGATTTAAAGTTTAAATCTTCTGAAACGCTTCAGCGAGGAAAAGACATAACTTTAACGTTAATTTAATGGTAATGTTGATTGCGAGCAATTATGGTAAAATTGGGCGTAGAATATTGGCTTCATTGACTTTAAACAGGTTTGTTTGACCCCTGCATTAGACGAACCTGCGGGTATTCATGCACCATATAAGGCTGAGGCCCTGTGTCCACAGAGAGGTTAACTCGGGGGGTAAATATGACTATGACGGACATTGGCTTTGCTAAATATGTTATTAAAGGAAACCAATTTCAAATATTGTGGTCTTTAAGGGGAATGTATGCACGCTAGAGTCGGACAGTGGCACCTACAAACCGAATATTGATAGTGTCATTTGAAAAGATTTGGTGAAAGCGGAGGGCATTGGGTTTACATTTTCCAGCTATGACGCTGTTGACGTACGTTGTACGTTGTTTTTAAAAATCGTATTGAATGGAATTCTTTCTTATGCGAACTTTGTTGCCTTGGGGGATTTTGTTCAATTCTAGATCGATATTGGGTAATTGGTTCATGCTTGTAAAAACACTGATGGACTATCAAGATTGTGACACAAGAAAAGAATTCACAAAATTTACCCATGTTTGGAGTCGAATCAGACTTCCCGCAAATGATCGAAAGCTAAACTGCCGGGCAAAAGGATTATACACCCATGTTGGATGGTGGCTAAACTGAAACAAACAAGAAATGGCATTTGATACGGGTTTCATAGTTGTGTTTTGGAACTTATGTTTGCAATGTTTCGGAGACCGTTTTCAGCCTACGGTACGTTTAGGTAATGTTCGTAATTGTTTGGTCAAATCCAATTTTCAAGCGTATACTTTCTTTGCCCGGTAGTGTATATTTCCCTCCTACATTGTATGATGATGTTGTCGTATGTACAATCGTTACAAGAATCAAACTGAATGACACTCTTTCTAATTCGAGATTGTTTGTCTCGGGTGTTCTTGTTCCATTAGAGAGTGAGATTGGGTTAGTGGTGCTTGCCTCCTTTAATAATACTGTTGGACTATCATGATTATGAATAAAATGTTCCACAAAAATTACCCACTTTTGGATTCGAACCAGGCATTCTGTAAATGATCGACAGCTATATCTACTGACCATATGGCCACTGGTCTCAAAGTCACGCTCTCATTGAAACGGGCGGTTGGGTAGTATAATGCTTTAGCGTTTATTCGTCACGCCGGAAGACCGGGTTCGATTCCCAACATTGGTATAGAATGCATGAAACCCATTTTTGGTGTATCCCGCTGTGATATTACAGGAACATTGAAAAATACATACTTTCTCACTCGTTCATCCAACAAGAGAGCACGAGTGACCAAGTTGTCAACACACTATGCAGAGTTGCGTCCCTTGTGGTACAAGGATCCGCTGATAGGTTCGAATGTGAGATACGCCTTGCTCGTTGGGTTCACCAGAGCGATAAACGTCTAAGACTTGCGTTGCTGTTCATTGTCATCCAACAATAAGCTGGCACACTGTGATATTACCCGTTCAACTCTCCGCACTCACTCATCCAAGCGAAAAAAGGAAAAACAACGTTAACTTCACGACATGATAGTCATGCAAGCATGACGACAAGATTGTGACATGTTAGTAAACATTACCATAGGTTTGTACAGTGCTGTCTTCTCAAACAAAAACACAACTAGAACACAATGAGTCTAAGATGTCATTAAAGACGTTTGAATGATATAACAACGATAAATTAAATAGCGTCAGTCATGGCTAGGCCGAACTTTGTGATTATGAAAGGGCACTTGCTTTTTTATTCAAACGTCAACAATATTAACAACCTGTTTGTTGTCCGGATAGCTCCATAATGACACAGCATTGCATGACTGTGTAGTTTATATATATACATCAGATAGGGATGTTCGTCTTATAACAATTCAGTCAAATGGAACGCAGCCGATGCGTGTCTATCATTATTATGATTAAGGCTTTACGCTTATAGAACATTTTCCATCAGCGTTGCTTTTGAAGTCGATCGTTATTTGATATCTTAGAGAGTCTCTTTGCTTATTTCTAATTCGTGGGATATTGGTGTTAAATCAAGCGAAATAACGAAATTACACAACGATTATCACTTGAATGTTCGTCAAGCGTCCCGAATGTCCATTTTATCATACTGTCAGTGAACTTCAATGTTTGCGTGTCGATAGAAAAACATGAAATGTTTACAAACATGTTTACAGACAACATTACATTTGGACTTTAACTACAAGCCCCGCTTGTTGGAAGTGAATAGGGTGCCCTCTTAATAGACTATAACGAGACGGAGACGTGTGCTTGCCCGCCTAACTGAGACGATCGAATCAAGTACGTGTGAGGCTTATAGCTGTAGAGGCGAGCGTTCGGTTGGATCCCTCCGTCGATTTGGCTACCAAACGATCATATGTGCTACTGCTCTACAATCAATTGTTCGCCGCTATCAACCCAGACGAATGCTACATGTGTATTTCTCGTGATAAACTGACAGATATGCTCATAATCTGTGACGTCAGAGAGAAAGGGGCGGAGTTAGCAGTGACCGTAAGCCAATGAGCGGTCTCACGACGAGGACACTCGTATCGCTGTGGAATATCTACTGACGGCTCTACTCTAGAGTCGATGCATTAAAAGTACCGATAGGCTGTACGCAAGTTTTCGTTGTGTTTGTGGATAACTGTACGGAGACACGGTTCGGAGTTTTGTGGTCGGCTAGATGAAAGTCGACAGAAGGTAAACTTGAACATGATGTCGCGAGTGAAAGGATTACCTTGTGTCTGTACCTGTGTTTTAGTGCTGGTCGCGTTGGCACGTGTGTCGCAGTCTTATGACTATGCAAAGAGGATATGTGCCCGATTGCCCATTCACACAACTGAGCAAAGATCACCCGGGAATAATGGATTTAAGATAATTGTTGAAAGTGACACCGAATCGGACATTACGAAATATCGACCAGGTGAAAAGTACACAGGTGAGTTCGACCCTTTAACAAATAGTACGCTTTTTTGGCACTTCTAAAGAACCTGCTTATATAGACTGTCTGAGGTACATGTTTATTTCACGCGCCACTACAATCACACCTAGCAGACGACAGTTTTCACACGATTTCACTATCGTGTACAGTAGCAAGTATACGGAGCTATCCATTTGATCTAGTCGCGTGGAATTTGAATCTTGTCCTCCCGACAAAGTGGCCTTCGTTTGCCAATGAATAGATAAGCTTAAACTTCAAAACGTGTGAGCTCGCCATTTTTTACGGCTTTATCTGAGACGGGACACGCACACATCATCCACACAATATAAATTTAACCGTACATCATACATAGGGCTAGTTTATTGTATGATATTAACGTGCTGTTCTGAACGGTCGATCGATAAGACTACATTAGAATAGGACAATCGTATCTGTTAAATGTAGCTATTCAGTAAATGCTATGTTATTATTACAAATATAATTAAAAATCATTCCAAATTAGATCGCGTTAAAAAGGAAAACATATCTTTTTAAAGGCACAAATGTTCAATTTTATTATAAATATTTTTTTAAATAGCATCACACAGCTGAAACTAATTAAACACTACCAAGTCATCGTTCCGTTGATGTACTATTGTGTCTATGTCGGATTGAACTTGAATTATGTCAGCTTTGACACGACACGTGACTAGTTCTGTGGGTTGTTGTCAAGCTGCGCTACAAAGGCAACCACAAGCATGTAGTCTGTAGTCACTCTCTGTAGCATTTCCTTTAGCACACATTCCGTCTGCATTACTTGCACAAAACACCCTGCTACAGGAAGGCAATGTGTAGGCGATATATGCAACGTGGCTTAAAAGAAACGTTTGTTTCATGTCTGAGCAAGTGCCATCGACTTTTCTCTGAAAATAGCAGGGTTATTATTTAAATATACTTCAGAGGAAGCTTTAGAATGGTGGTATATGCAAAACGTTGTAGCAGTATAGGTGGTTAGTGGTATAAGGATTATATGTAGCGAAGGTTATTGTTAACCGTAGTCACTACAACTATTACATACCAGTATTACAACACTTTGTTTATTCTTCTCCACATACATATAATCGTCAATGTGATTCTAAAATCCTTAGAATGAGGTTCTATATCACGTTCCAGTGACTTGCGGAAGTTAGTGACAAAATTGTGCACGAGACACGAGAGCCCAATCTGACTGTAATAGTACTGATATTAATAATGGATAAGAACTGCAATATGGTTTGTGGCTGTTTACTTTTCTATGACTAATCGTATATGTATAATATAAACGTATTAATGAATTCGTTTTATCCCGAAGCCTTTTGGGTCGAATTATAAAGTCACAGGTGGAGGGATTGACATAGGGAGAGATCGAGAAAAAAACTTCATAAAACGACTTTCATATTCCTTGTGAAAGATAGCTGTTATGTCAGTCTATGTATACTACTCAAAAGAAGTTAAGGATCACCCGATTCTTTCTTATTGGTAATGTTAATCTGTCATGGCATGAGAGATTAATTATTGTAATATGAAAGAATCAGGTGATCCTTAACTTCTTTTGAGTAGTATACATATTTGTAATTTACTCTGTGATTAGGTGTGATTTGAAATAACAAAAATAAAGATAGTTGATTTGAGACAGAATTGTAAAAAGTGAAATATGTTAGAAATTGTCATATATTTTGAAAAATAGAGAAAAAAGATTTTTTTGTAAGTATACTGATGGAAATAAATAACGCAACGGCTTTGAAAGGAAGCACGTGTATGAAGGTACACATCTATACGCATCAAATAAAACATCAGATGCATCATTTCACTATGTGATGTTTTGTATAACAAGGATGAATACGGTAAAATAACAGTTTCGTTAATTTCACGGGTTGCCTTATTTCTGACCATCAGTATGTATAGGCTTAATATCGAGCTTAATTCCTGACTTTTGTATCGATGCAGCGAATACGTAGTGTTATTGAACTGTAACTTAAATCTCAACCCGCGGCTGATATATACGACAGCAGCGCCGTGATCGTTGGGTGTGACCTGCAGTGTATTGTGGAAAGGTATGCTGTGTGATGCCAACAGGCGCTCCAACATAACACTGTCCCGAGTTTCTGCTTCGCATATTTCTATACACGTGGTCTATTTACATATATATCGTGAATATCTTTGCAAAAAGTGCTCGACTATTTTCGGACTGATGGTTAAAGTAAATGCACACGTGTTGCAGTCACGCATCGCATCTCAGCTTCAATGCAATCTATAAACCTTTCGCCATTTTCGTTAAGCGCCATCATGTAATACAAATAACATTTACATATATCTATTTCGTTTTCGATGAAAGAATTTCAGGAAAACTATGAAACTGTGTTAGCATTTGGAATGTATTTTTGGTATTTATGTGTTAGCCTTTACACATTTTCCGAATGAGTAAACGGGGTTTATATATACCTCGTGTAAACAGCAGATTTATAAACATCTATCTCTTGGATCTATCTCCATTGTGTGGGATCCTAGTGACATCACAGTATAATCACCATTCCGCTTGAGTAACCCTCAAATGTTAATCAATACCTCTGTAACCCCAGCCTCTATTCCCTGGGCTCTCACATGGCCGTGTTTAGAGGCTCTCTCTCGAGAGAGCTGACAGATGGACTTGGGAGGTTTTATCAGGCAACACCATCCATGTAACTTATTGAGGATCGCGAGAAGGGAGGATAACACAGACACATTATGTAATCAGGATGATGATACGTCGAGACTGTCTAATTGAGCTGCATCCCTGAGTAAGGTTTATGTCGATTGAGCTACCCTCACGAATAATGCAAGAGGAGTCGTCACAAACTCAATCTCATTAAGTCAGGTCCTTTACTCCGGATTGATACCTTTGGTCCTCTGGTTTCAAATCTGATCCGGATATATCTGGTCCAAGGAGGTATTATATCTGATTCGGATATTTACGGTTCGTAGAGGTCTCAAATCTGATCCGTATATCTCTGGTCCGGAGAAGTACAAAATCTGATCGGATACCATTGGTTCAGAAAAGGCATCAAAATTGATCCGGATACCTTTGGTTCAGAAAAGGTATCAAATCTGATCCGGATATCTCTGCCCCGGAGAAGTATCAAATCTGATCCGGATATCTCTGGTCCGGAGAAGAACCAAATTTGATCCGGATACCTTTGGTTCAGAAAAGGTATCAAATCTGATCCGGATATCTCTGGCCTGTAGAAGTATCAAATCTTATCCGGATACCTTTGGTTCAGAAAAGGTATCAAATCTGATCCGGATATCTCTGGCCCGTAGAAGTATCAAATTTGATCCGGATACCTTTGGTTCAGAAAAGGCATCGAATCTGATCCGGATATCTCTGGCCCGGAGAGGTATCAAATCGGAACTAAAGATGTGATATTCTTGAGATGGTTCACATACTGAACCCATAGGTAGAAAAGAACCCAGGAATTTGTATCTATCGAAAACAATACCCAGTAGGCTAATTCATCGCTTGTTACAATGAACAAGCAAGTCAACGTTTACATTAAACGAGGGAGTACAGCTCTGTAACGCTCGGTAGGTGCACGTGGTTACATGTTCCTTGTTCGATGCTCGTGGCAATACTAGTGTGTATATCACTGATTTGTCTTCATCAGCCGCCGTTATGGCGATAGCAAGGCTATTTGCTTTTTTGCAAGATGACTGGATGAATTGAGGGGGGAAATATGTTAACCGCCAACGGCCGACAATACCATAGTGAGCATACACGGTGAGGTGAAAACGAGCATGTGTGTGTGTGTGTGTGTGTGTGTGTGTGTGTGTGTGTGTGTGCTTTAACTAGTCCGGATTAATGCCGGTGTATAGTGCTAGCCCACTGAGATCACATGCCGCAGTTTAACGTGAATGCCCCACTCATGCACAGTATACTTATTCCGAACCGACCAGTCCTTGTTTTAGCCTCTTAATGCCGAGCATTAGGCAGGGTGACATCAAGTACCTTCTTTTAACGTCTTCTGGTATCACGGGCATCGAACCCCGACCTTCCGCTTTCCGGGCAGACACTCTGTCCACTAGACCACGGAGGCGGCAGTGAGCATACACTGGCATGGAGATAGATACAAGGGTCCTCGTCAGATATGTCATCTATTATGCAATGCACTTCATCTCCTTCCATTGTGATAAATACTCTGGACCTATTGGCTACCAAAGCTTCGTTTTTCGACCTATCCTAAAGACACTACGCTGGATGTATTAAAAGCACCTCGTACAATATACCGTTCATTCTGCGAAGGCATGAGGATATACTATAAGGCACCTCGTACAATATACTGTTCACTCTACGAAGGCATGGTTATATAGTAAAGGCTCCTCGTATGAAACTGTTTACTCTACGAAGGCATGGTGATATATTAAAGGCACCTCGTATGAATCTGTTTACTCTACGAAGGCATGGTGATATATTAAAGGCACCTCGTATGAAACTGTTTACTCTACGAAGGCATGGTGATATATTAAAGGCACCTCGTACAATATACCGTTCACTCTACGAAGGCATGGTGATATATTAAAGGCACCCCGTACAATATCCCGTTTACTCTACGAAGGCATGGGAATATATTAAAGGCGCCTCGTAAGAGAGTGTTCACTCTACAGAAGCATGGTGATATAGTAACGGCACCTCGTAAGATCGTGTTTAATCTACAAGGCACCTCGTAAGATACTCTAGATTCAACACAATCATGGTGATATAAGGCACCTACTAAGATATTGTTTACTCTACGAAGGCATGGTATTTATGATATGTACCTCGTAATATATCATTTACTCCAAACAAGAATAGTTTAAGGCACCTCGTCAGATACTGTTTACTCTATACAAACATATATTAAAGGGGCTGTCGGCGGAATTAGATTGAGTATGTATTGAGGGACAATTATCCTTTTTGTGAAGATTAATTCCATCTTTAATATGTATTAGGAATCTTTGACATTTGT